GAGAGAGAGAGAGAGTAACCATACTGTATGAATTTGACAGGTTTTCTCCAAAGGGCCATCTCTGTATGCTTTCAAGGGGATGGCTGGTCGTTTTGCCCCTATAGGAGTCCATTTAGCTATGCTTCTGATTATGGCTGGAGCAACTCTCAGTGCTACAGGGAGCTTTCGGGGTTCTGTTACAGTCCCTCAGGGATTGAATTTTGTGATTGGAGATATCATGGGTCCAAGTGGCTTTCTCTCGAATCCTATGCCATCTTTCAATACTGAAGTTCATGTCAATAGATTCTACATGGACTACTATGAAAGTGGGGAGGTAATATAATCTTCTGGTTCCAATTCCATGAGTGCAAACTTCATGTCTATGACTAGCCCACTTTGAACTTATCTGCTATTAATGCAGTATTTTTGGAGAATTTGTCATATGTTGCCATGGTTTCCTTCTATCTGAGTTGAGGAAGCCTTCAGTCCTGTTTCTTTCACTGTGAATTAGAGAAAAAATTATATTAAAAAAAAAAAACTGAACTCTCTCCCCCCCCCCCTCCTCCCTCCCCTCTCCCCTCCCCTCCCCTTTTAAATTACAAGTCTAGGGGATAAAATGTGTTTGTTCCGAATACCTGCAAATTTAGCCATGAGTGTGGGAACATAGCCGGGGTAAAACTTGTTTTCTGACTGATTAATTTATGTTTTTTTGGTTGGCATAATCAATCTGCTTTTACGGTGGTATCAAATCTAGATTATGTTTCACAAAGTTTTTGACTAAGAAATTTTCATGGTCGGTATTTAGGTTTCACAGTTTCACACTGATCTTTCACTACTCAATTTGGATGGGAAGGAGGTGATGAGGAAGACAATAAGCGTGAATGACCCACTAAGATATGATGGAGTTACCATATATCAGACAGATTGGGGTATCTCAGCTCTTCAGGTTTCCAAGGATACTGATGGCCCTTTTAATCTGGCGATGGCTCCATTGAAGATTAATGGGGACAAGAAGCTTTACGGGACCTTCCTTCCTGTAGGAGACACAAATTCCTCTAATGTGAAGGGAATGTAAGAATTTTTCTCTCCAAGTCATCTACGGATCTGCATAGTGAAATAACTTCCTGCTGTTACATATGTTGCATTGAAAACACTGAAAGATGCTCAAATGTAAAAGGAATGGAAGCTTTTGACTATGTATATCATCTAAATTCTATGGTTTCAGTACTTCTAGAGTATAGCCAAGTTGTGACACTACTAATTGCTGTTATGTGCATCATACTGGAAGCATGGAAGAACGATAAAAGTGAAGCTCTATTTCTTTCATACATGCTGAGGCACAAGTTTACCATATTCAATGGAGTATAAAGTACACCGTAGGGACAACCACCATCCGTTCCGTAAGACAGATGTCGGAAATTAATGGATACGGGTCCCACTACAGGAAATCTCCACTATCCATCATCAGGAATAAATGGTGGATGCTCCTTTTGAATATTGTTTAGCATACTATATTATGGTGGATGCTCCTTTTGAATATTGTTTAGCATACTCAATTAAATTGTGGTATACTTGTGATGCAAACATTCAAAAATAAAAGATTTTATGCGTGGCAAAGGAATGGGTATGAGAATTTTAAGAACCCTGCCTTTTGCACTTGCAAGCTTAAACCAGTTCCTTGTGAAAATGGAACGTTTTTTGTGCTTAGATATGTTCTCAGTTTTGGGGATTAGCAGATCAATGCTGGCTCGTGATCTACAGTCAATAGTTCTTTATGATCAAGAAGGCAAGTTTGCTGGTGTTCGCCGGCCTAGCTCGAAGCTTCCTATTGATATTGATGGCATGAAAATTGTGATTGAAGATGCAATTGGAAGCACGGGCCTCGAACTAAAGGTAGATTTATGATTGTTCCTTGCAGTGATGCATTGCACTAGGTATTCGTATTGTCTCATGCTCTAATGAAAGTTTTAAGTATCCAATGACAAACAACTGTGCTACTGCTAGTAATAATAACAATAATTATAATGTTAAACCAGAATACCAAATTCTTCCATACGATACCTCCAATTCCTGTGAAAATTAATTTATCAATGATAATAATACTAGTAAAGATTTTACTCCCAAAAAAAAAAAACACTACCAATAAAGGTGGCCGTGGTGATGATTATGATGCTATTGCATTTTCCCTTTAAATGAATTATCAGATACCTTCTCATTCTAATATTCTGATTGGAAAAGTATGCCACCTTTTACTTCGTGTATTTTGTTTATTATGTTTCCCAAATGAAAGCTTAGTTCTTGTACAGACTGACCCAGGGGTCCCAATAGTATATGCTGGATTTGGTGCATTAATGCTCACTACTTGCATCAGTTATTTATCTCATTCTCAGGTAAGACATCAATTTTCAGTTACATCATTAGAATTTCTATCAAGATTTTCTTTCTAAAGAAAATTTTAGAACTTTGCATGACATTACATCATTGTAGCTTCTAATTTAATTTGTTGGTGACCGGTGATTGACCCGTTTAGATTTGGGCATTACAAGATGGAACCACAGTGGTTGTAGGGGGAAAGACTAATAGAGGAAAGGTTGAATTTGCTGGGGAGCTAAACCGTTTGCTTGATTCCATACCCGAAATAGTAAACACCAAAACAACTCCCAGTAAAACATTGAATTCTGAATCAAAAGATGGTGATTCCTTAGTTTGAAGCAAATCCAAGTTTGGCGCTTTGGCCACTTTCATAGGGAGTGTACATATTTGAACAGTGAAGACCAATAAATTTATTGGTTCATGAGGACTTAGCCACAAGAAGCCAGTCTCAATTCAGTACACAATGAAGTACTAATAAGCTTGGTGCTGATATTTGTAATAGCATTTATTGCGTTTGAATTTGAGGATGTTCTAGAATTTGCTCATACCTCGAATGTATTCGTGACCCAATTTATAGCATGAAATTCAGAAATCTGAATTTTTGCTTCATTCCATTGACTAAATTGGGTATTTGCAGATGTGCTTTTGTGCTCGACTGATAAACACTTCTTTCTGTACCCTCTTTATTTGGTTAAATAAACCTACCTCCCTCCCCCCAACTGGGGAAATAAACTTAAACGAAGAAATATCTCTCTGAATTTTGGGAAAATTTGTTTAAAAGAAATGAAAATACCCATATTTAAAATCATATACTATTGGAAGCTAAAGTCCCAAAACCGCCAACATAACAAACTTAACCCGTTAAGATTAAGTTTTGGCTATGGCTATGAGCTTCAAAATTTAATCCCCCTACTAGTGATATCATTGGGGGCTTCAAAGTGGTAGGAGGTGAAATTGGAGAATTGGTGTGTAGTTTCTCCAGAAAATCCAGAAAAACTTTATCAACCTCGAACATAGTTTGCCAGCTAATAGTGATTATAGCCTGTATTAAACACAAAGGATCTTATTATATGCCCTCATATTTATTAAACCAATATATTTAATTTATTTGTAAGTCATATATATTTTTAGAAATAAATACAATGCATTCTTAGTCCTCCCATAGATAAAAATTGATAACCTTATCCATCATGCACAAATCAATTAGCACTCACGCCTTACTATCAAATGAAAGAAAGAAAAAAACCCTTAGAATTTTGGCTCCAATATAATGCGCTTGTCTAGTAGAAATAGCCCTGTTTGTGAATCTCGCCACTCAATTCAGGAGTTTGTGAATAGACCTGGACGGTGCATAAACTTCCAAAGAAAGTTCTTACTTTAAATTCGAGGCATCATGAATTTTGAGGAAAATAGCACTTTTACACTAATAAAAATTTCACCAAAAGAAGAAATAGAATTTGAAATAAATATATGCGGGATAATTTAGGTGTAGCACCAATAGCTGACAAGATGAGAGAAAGCTGACTTTAGTGGGCGGGCCATGTGTGCGCATATCCAATATAGCATCTGTTAGAAGGTACGGGTTAATTCAAGTGGAAGGCTCAAAAGGATAAAATAGGTTTGAAAAGACATGGTTGGAAATGTGAGAAAAGATAGAGAGATTTATGACTTCACTGAGAGTATGACCCTTAATAGAATAGAATGACGGATCAAGATTGTATAGCTGATCATAATTAGTTGAAAAAAAGCTTTGATCATGAAAAATTTCACCAAAAGATCAGCATAAAACAACATAAACAAATAAAGTTTTCATTATAAAACGAGACAAAAATAAGAAAGTAAATGAATCTATCAATGGCCCACCATTAACCCATAAAGATTTACAAGGAGCCGCTACAAATCAAGAAGGAACCATCACAAATCAACTGACACCCAAAACAAATAGAATCTTATACCATATAACATATCCAATATCTTCCCGCCATCTAAATAAATTGATACAAAATTTATTAGGCAGATCAGTAGGAAAGGGGTCAACGACCCATGCTAATAATGAAACTCGAGCCGAGCCATTGTGGCACCCACCAGCTTGACCATCTATGCCTTGAGTTGATTTCTACTATTGATAAGATATGATAGCCCCAAATTCCTCTTTTACAAAAGGACCCATTTGCTCTTTGCCATTTTCATTTTCCAGCAATGTCAGCAATTTATCAAAGACATATTTACTGAAATAACTATCATCTGATGTTTGCATTCTACCGATCAAAGTTGTGCCTTAATAACCTAAACTGGAGGAATTAAGGCACCTTGATTCTTTCAGAGATGCTTAGTGATGACATTGGAATATTTACACTTTTTCCACCCATGGATAAGCAAGGAATGCAACAGTTGGCAACAGGCACTTGGTTACCATCTCAGGTTTTTATATACAGGTCTATCATGTAGCTTGAAAACATGAACTGGAGGACTTAAGGCACCTCAAATCCTTAGGAGATGCTCGTAATGACTTTAGAAGCTTAATACCTTTTTCAGCCATTCATGAGCAGGGAGTGCAAAAGTTGGGAATTCACCTGGAACCAATTTGAGCACATTAAACAACAAATGAAATGAGTATGAAATTGGATCTGATCAGGTTATTCGGCAAATAATTAGAAGGTAAAATTTCATCTGAACATATGCTGTGAATGCATACTTTCTCAAGAAAATGTAGGGTGTAAACTGCAAAGATAGTGCTCTTCTGCATTAGAAAGAAGGTCGAGGATAATACGTGTCATTCCCCCAAAAGATAGTGCATGGCATCCTTTGAATAGTAAGATAAAAGATAAAACCATAGGTGCTTATTATTTGGGCAATTTAACACTATGGATGCTATAGATCGGGGCTTGTAACATAAGTAGATGAAAAAAATTCAAAGAAGCTTGTTGCTTTGTGTGAACATTGTGAACAAACCTCGACGCGTGCTGATGATATAAGTCTGCAGAGTTTATCACCATTTAAGCTTACAGAGTACTATATAGCATGCACTACCAGTTCACCTTTTCTTTCTTTTCTGTTGATCATTACAACCAATCCACTTCTCTTAGTTCTGACTCTCCTGCTTAAAATATGAGTGGAACTTCCAAATCTCAGTCAAGGAATGTTCATGAATACTCTAAAGGGAGACCCTGTTCCTGCACCAAAGAACCAAATCAAAGAAAATGATCATGGAGGTTTGTTTTGGTAAATACTATCATGGACTTTTCTGATCATTTGGTATCAATTTTAGTAGAGAAACAAAATTAGCAACTACAATATGAAAAAGAAAAAGAACTTTTGCCAGAAAAAACAGCCTTACCAATTTCTAGTCCAAGGGAAAGAGTAATGTTCATGGAGAACGTTCATGGAGCACTCGACTAGTACATACCAATTGAATGATGACAGTTGATGCCAAAATCTATTCTAAGATAGCTCAAAGGATGCTAAAATAATTAGACAATTCAGTGTAGTAACATTTCCACATGAAAGGTTGTCCATTGATAAACTCCTCGTGCAGAAACCAGAAAGCCTTGCGCAAAGCCTGAATATACTGCTTTAGTAGATCCATGCATTAGAATACAACTTGTTGGCTTTTGTTTCTGCCCCATCCTCTCTTTCTTCACCTCCTCCACCACATAGGTCTTCCTCAACACTTTTACCTGGCCATGCAAAGATACACCAACTATTGGAAGACTATAATATAAATCAATGTACTGTGAAAAAAGCACGGTATGTTGGGTCATCGCCATACATTGGAATAATGGACAGTGATGGAGAGAGGGTGGGACCCTCCATTGGGATCATGTAATGTTCTGGTGGGATTCCACTTTACCACCAACACCATCCATAAAAAGAAAACAAATATTTGTATGCTTAACCAGTTATTCAACTCACCTCCATGCAAATAATTTCTTTCCGCCTATTTATTTACAGTTCCCCCATCAACGGGCAACTTCAGACATGCTATGCATGCATAGTGCTGCTTGCATCAAAGTTGTTTGATTGGCTTGTAGTTTCATGGTCCAAAACACCTGGTAGAAGACCCTTGATATGCATCTCATCATAAAGCTTTGATATCTGACCCATGTCACCAGATTGAATATAGCCCTGCACTAATGTACTGTATGTCACAAAATTTGGATCAACACCCATTTCACCCATTTGATGAAGAAGCGATTTGGCAGCCTCTGTATCCCCTTTTTGACAAAGACCATTAATCAGAACAGAATACGTGATAACTGAAGGAGAAATCCCTTCCTCCATCATTTTGGATTTCAACTTAAGGGCATCATCTATTTTACCAGCCTTGCAGTATCCATCCATCAATGTATTGTATGTGATCACATTGGGGACCAGTCCTTTCATGCAAAGCTTATTGAAAAGCCTTATGGCCCTTTCTAAATTTCCAGATTTACACAAACCATTAATTAGAGCGTTATATATAGCAATGTTTGGAACGATACCCATACTAAGCATCTCATCCCTAAGCATGAAAGCTTCATTAATATTACCAGCCAATGAACAGCCATGGATAAGAGTACAATATGTGAAGTTATCAGGAATAAAGCCCCTTTTCAACAACTCTGAGAACGTTCTCTTTGCATCTTCCACTCTCCCTGATTTACAGAGCCCATCTAGAACAACATTGTACACAATGAGATTGGGCAAAAGATTACCACCATTAGTTAGCCCACGAATTTTCACCGTCATCTGTGAATTAAGATTCACAGATTGGAGCTCTACAAAACTTCCATAATGTGCATCTCCGAGAGAGAGATCAATGCCCAACATTTTCTGCAACACCATGTTTGCTTCATCTATCTTACCAAGTCTATAGAGGCCACTGAGCAATGTGCTACAAATTATCAGATTTGGAGTAAAACCCATCTCAGCCATTTCAAAATAGACACTAAAAGCTCTATCTAGCCTTCCTTCTTTGCACCACCCATCAATGAGAGCACCATAAGTCACAATATTAGGATTCAACCCCCTCTTCTCCATATCAGCCATGACATCTTTCACCTGACTGCTTCTCCCACAACTAAACAATCCACCAACTAAACTATTATACATCTCAATTGCAGGTTTAATTCCTTTCCTTTCCATCTCTTCCCTGACTTCTAAAGCTTTTACCATATTCTTCTCTCTACAGTAACCATCAATAAGAGTTCTATATGTTATACTATCAGGCAAAATTCCAGAGTTTCTCATTCTATCCAGGAGCTCCTCAGCCTCACACAATTTCCCCTTCTTACATAACCCATTAATCATAGTATTGAAAGTGACTTGATTCTTGGCATGGCCCAATACTAACATTCGCTCCCATAGCTTCCAAGCTTCTTCAAATTTCCCCAATTTGAGAAACCCATCAAGTAAAGTGCTCAAGGTAACCTCATCTGGATTTATCCCTCGTTCCCTCATCATTTGCCAAAGTTTCAAGGACTCATCAATATCTCCCACACGAAACAGGCCTTTAATAAGTGTATTATATGTTAAGGCAGTGGGTTCAACCCCTCTGCTAAGCATCTCGTCACAAAGATTAAATGCCTCCATAAACCTCTTTTCCTTGCAAAACCCATTTAGGAGAGTGTTATAGCTGTATGAATCAGGAACTAGTCCTCGAATTTCCATATCCCTAATTAATTGCTTTGCTTCATTAAGCATGCCAATCTTGCAGAACCCATTAAGTAATGTATTTGAAGTAACAATATTTGCCTTCAGTCCCGAGCCCAACATCTCATCCTGAACCCTAATTGCGTCTTCCAATTTACTAATTAAGCAATACCCATTTAAAATTGTACCATAAACAACTTCATCAGGAACCAGAGAATATTTCTCCTTCATCTCTCTGAGCAATTTCTCGGCTTCTATCATCTTACCTTCTCGACAGTATCCTTTAATCAATAAATTGAATGTAATAACACTGGGTTCAAGGCCCCTTTGAGAAATCAAATAAAAAACCCTGAGAGCTGCCTTAGTTTCTCCTAAATTAGAGTACCCATTTATCAGAGAATTATAAGTAACAAGATTTGGTTCATAACCTTTTCTCTCCATTTCCTCTAATAATTCTACAGCTTTACACATTTTACCATCCTTAGAATAAGCATTAACAACCATGGTGTAAGTGTACACATCAGGAAAAATCCGAATTCTCTGCATTTGCTCGAAAACATGGAACACAGTATGATTCTCATTCTTCCTAATCAAAGCACTGATTATACTATTACATGATCTCAAGCTTGGGCTAAAGCCAAACTTTCCCATATTATCAAACACATGGAGAGCCTTTCCTAACATACATTTCTCAGCATATAACTTAAAAAGCATATCGAAAACAGTTGGAGAGAATGAGAATTCCTTGAAAACATCCAATAACTCATAAAAAACCAGAGAATCTGAGCATTTAGAGGTAGAAAAAGAAACCAATTCATTAAGGTACTGGCGAGCCTCACTGAACATTTTCGCTCTCGATAAAATGTGAATGATTTTGCAGTAACATAGTGAGTTGGGTCTGAATTTTTGTTGTTGCTGTGCAATCTTGAAGAAATTTAAACTGGCAACAGGGCGAAGCCTGAGTTTTCTGAGAACCCCATCAACCAATTCATCTGAGAAATCAAAGGAGAGATGGCTAATGGCTTCAAGGCGATTGAGAATGAGGATTCTACAGAGCGTTTCTATGAGTTGGGTTTGGGTTAATGGGGGGCCATGGTTGGGTTTCCGCTGGAGAAGAGTGGTGGTGGTGTGAATGGATTTTGCTGCAGGGAAGAGAGAGAGTGGGGTGATGAGAGAGAAGTACCTGGACATGGCAGAGGATAGTGAGGGGATGTTACATTGAGTTGATGGATCTTCCATGTACAGAAGAGGAATTGAGTTTTCACCTTTCTGCCCCAAAGATGCAGAAATCGACTCGCACCCGACCCATACCTAGACCCTCTTTGGGTTCAGTTAATTGTGCCATCGGGTCTGGATCGGGTCTATAAATAAAAAATATATAAAAACTATTATATAGTTTAGAAAATATTTTTATATAAAGTTTCAACCTTAAAATCTAGAACTAGGGATGAACTTCAAAAATCTATTGAAAAAAGTTGTCTTAAAATTTTAATATTGAAAATTTTTCTAATTGATCATCTAGACATTGAGATATATGACTATGAAAAAAAAAAAAGATTTTGAGTCCCATAAATTATGCATCTTACAATGCAATATCTAGACCGTCCATTTTCAAGATTTTCATATGTTTATAGATCTACTTGATTTTAACCATTTTTTAAAGTTTAAAATTTTATAATTAGATATGAAAATAGATTTTGTGATAATCCTAATAATATTTTATATCAAAATTATATGTTATGATAAAATTTGAAGGTGCGCCTTA